CAGAAGCATAGACAGAACAAACAAACAAAAATTTGCTTCCTTAAGTTTTTACCAAGTTCTCTGTCTAAGTATAGAGCTACAGGAGACGCGCCACAAGCAACCGTGCGTAATATGATGTGAGAAGCATACTCACAGCACACCCCGGGCTGCATAGGGGCGGGGAGGAGATGGTGCAGGCGAGGGCTCCCCACAGGAGTCAAGGGGGGGAGGAGTGGGGCAGCGAGGTGGCCCACAGGGCGCGGGGGGGAGGAGGGGGGGCAGCGAGGGCCACAGGGCGCGGGGGGGGGAGGGAGGCGGGGCAGCGAGGCCCACAGGACTAAAGGGGGGAGGGAGGGGGGCAGGCGAGGCCACATGGCGGGGGGGGAGGGAGGGGGCAGCGAGGGTCCCCACAGGGCGCGGGGCGGCAGAGGCGGCGGGCAGCGAGGCCACAGGGCGCAGGGGGGAGGGAGGGGGGCGAGGAGGGGCCACAGCGCAGCGTGGGGAGTGAGGCGGGCAGGCGAGGTGTCCCCACAGAGTGCCTCAGGGGGGGGGAGGGAGGCGGGGCAGGCGAGTGGCCCCACGTGCCGAGGGGTGAGTCTCCTGTTTTCTGAGGGTAACCTGGGTTCTCCCCCTCAAGGTTATACGAGGGACAAGTCGTTCCTGGCCATGGTGGTGGACATTGTGCGGGAGCTGAAACAGCAGAACCCCAGGCTGGTATATGGTAGGCAGGGGCCCACCCTCGGGTCTGGCTGGGTGGCCCCACACAGGGTAGGGCTGGCGTGGGAGCCCGAGAAGGGACGTCTTAGCCTCCTTCCTCCTCTGCACCCCTCCATGCCCCGCCTCTCTGGGCCAGTGAGCTATGTCTGCCAGGCCTCTGAAGATGTGGGCCTGCTGAAGTCCACTGGGCTAGAAGCGTTTGCAGGTGACGTTGGTGTCTTGTGTGGCTGGTGTGAGACAGGAAGGGGTGTCAGTGTGCTTATATAGCAGGGCTGCTGTGTGAAGGCCTGGGGCCCAGGCAGCACTGTTGTGTGACTTCACTGACCCTAAATGCGGAGGGGACAAGGGGCCACACCCAGGCAGGGCCAGGCTAGGAAGTTGGAGAAGGGAGGGTCGGGGTCACACCCAGGCAGGACCAGGTTAGGGAGTTGGAGAAGGGAGGGGCCACACCCAGGCAGGACCAGGCTAGGGAGTGAGGACGGACAGGGTCACACCCAGGCAGGGCCAGGTTAGGGAGTAGGGGAGGGGAGGGCCACACTCCAGGTAGGTCCAGGGCTAGGGAGTAGGGGAGGACAGGGTCCTACCCAGGCTGGGCCAGGCTAGGGAGTGGCCAAATCTTTGGGGCATCTGCCTAGATCGATCTTTCCTTAGAGGCCAGGCAGTGCTGGGTCCATCTTGCTGCCTGGGAGAAGGGGCAGCGTCACCCAACCTTGCAGACAGGCTCTCTCTGGGGCACAGGTCTCCCGGGTGGCTGGAAGGCAGGCCTGGCCCAGCACATGGTTTGCCACGCTGTGTACTGTTGCCCAAAGGGAAAGCGCTTGTCGGGACAGATGTACAAGGCCCAGATTGTGTGTACTCGAGGCCAGGAAGAGGAAGGGAGCCGCTGCACCTGCTTGGGTGACAAACAGTGATGAATGACACTTCACAGCAATTAGGATGACTGTCATCAAACACACGGAAAATAGCAAGTGTGGGCGAGGATGCAGAACCCTCACACACAGCTGCTGGGAGTATCAAAGGCTGTGGCCACAGTGGAAAACACGTTGGCAGTTCCCCAACAAGCGGAACACGGACACCACATGACCAGCAATTCCGCCCTGTGCATAGATCCGAGATAGCCTCAGACGGATGTGCATATTCCCACGTCTGTAGCAGCATTGTCCCCGGTGACCAAAGGTGGATACAGGCTGTGTCCAGTGATGGCTGACAAAGAAAATGTCCGTGCATACAGTGGAGTATTACTCATTCTGGAAAAGGAAGGAACTTCTGATACACTCTGCAGTGTGGATGACACTTGAGGACATGATGCTCAGTGAAAGTAGCCAGACACCAAAGGACAACTGTTACATGATTCCATTATGTGAAATATCCATGATAGGCCAATTCATCGAGGTAGAAAGCAGACTAAGGCCTGGCATGGTGGCTCACGCCTGTAATCCCAGCACTTTGGGAGGCCGAGGCAGGTGGATCACCTGAGGTCAGGAGTTCAAGACCAGCCTGGCCAACATGGTGAAACCCCATCTCTACTAAAAATACAAAAATTAGCCAGGTCTGGTGGCGTGCACCTGTAATCTCAGCTACTTTGGAGGCTGAAGCAGGAGAATTGCTTGAACCTGGGAGGCAGAGGTTGCAGTGAGCCGAGATCATGCCACTGCACTCCAGTTTGGGTGACAGAATGAGACTCTGTCTCAAAAAAAAAAGCAGACTAGATATTACCAGGGCCTAGGGCAGGGGAAATGGGGAGCGAGTGTTTAATGAGGACAGAGTTTCAGTTTGGGAAGGTGAAATGTTTTGGAGGTGGAGAATGGTCGTAGTTATACAATAGCAAGAATGCGCTTAATGCCCCTGAATTGTACACCTAAATATGCTTAAACTGGCAAAGATTATGGTATATATTTTTTACCACATTAAAAAGTTAAATTAAAGAAGAGAAGATATCTACTTCCACTTGGCAGCTTAAAAAAAAAAAGAAAGAAAGAAAAAAGCCAAATATGGTTGTTTACGCTTGTATTCCGAGCACTTTGGGAGGCCAAGGTGGGAGGATCGCTTAAGCCTAGGAATTCAAAACCAGCCTCGGAAACATGGTGAGAACCCATCTATACAAATCATTTAAAAGTTAGCTGGGTGTGCTGGTGCATGCCTGTGGTCTCAGCCACTTGGGAGGGTGAGGCAGGAGGATCCCCTGAGCCTAGAAGATCGAGACTGCAGTGAGCCATGATTGTACCACTGCACTCCAGCCTGGACAGCAGAGCAAGACCCTGTCTAAAAAATAAAAGAAGAAAGAAATGTTGAGGGTTTCTTACTCGTCAGCTGTAGCCTTTGCTGATAAGATGTCCTTTTGTCTCTGCAGTGTGTGATCCAGTTTTGGGTGACAAGTGGGATGGCGAAGGCTCGATGGTGAGTAATCTCATGTGTGTGATTTAAAAATGTGGTGAGTGGTGCTATTCCTATCCAGCCAGAAGACAGGCCCACGTCTCTTAAGTGTCTAACTTGGTGGGACTTCTCTGTCCAGAGGTAAAAAGACAAACCTTATTAGGAAGGAAAAAGGGGACCCACATGTTTTCTGTAAAGTGCCCAATAGTAGATAAATATTTACGCCTTTGCCGGCCACACGGCTCTGCCACAGCTGTTTGCATTAGAGCACAGAAGCAGCCACAGGTAAGAGGTGTACAAACAGGATGACCTCTTCTCCTCGCCTCTCCTCTCCTTTCTTTTTCTTCTTCTTTTTCTTCTCTTTCTTTTCTTATTGAGACGGAGTCTCACTCAGTCACCCAGGCTAGAGTGCAGTGCCACAATCTCAGCTCACTGCAACCTCTGCCTCCTGGGCTCAGGCAATTCTCATGCCTCAGTCTCCCAAGTAACTGGAATTACAGGTGTGCACCACCACACCCAGCTAATTTGTGCATTTTTACTAGATACGATTTCACCATGTTGTCCAGGCTGGTCTCGAACTCCTAGCCTCAAGTGATCCACCTGCCTTGGCCTCCCAAAGTGCTAGGATTACAGGCATGAGCCACCATGCCCAGCCATGCATGACCATTTTCTAATAAAATTTCATTTGTGGACACTGAAATTTGAATTTTCTATAATTTTCATGTGTCACAAAATACCATTCTTTTTTTTTTGACTTTTTCCCCCTAACCATTTAAAAATGTAGAAACCAGGCTGGGTGCAGTGGCTCACGCCTGTAATCCCAGCACTTTGGGAGGCCAGGGTGGGTGGCTGACTTGAGCCCAGGAGTTCGAGACCAGCCTGGGCAGCATGGGGAAACCCCACCATCTGTAATCAAAATACAAAACAATGAGCTGGGTATGGGGATACCCACCTATAGTCCCAGCTACTTGGGAGGCTGAGGTGGGAGGATCACTCGAGCCCAGGAGGTGGAGGCTGCAGTGAGCTGAGATCACACCACTATACCCACTCCACAGAGCAAGACCCCATCTCAAAAAACAAAGGAAATCTAGAAACCACTGAGCCCGTGAGCTGTATAGTAACAGCAGCAGCTGCAGCCCACAGACCTGGACATCGGATCAAGTGGATGGAGAACAGATCCACTGTGACCCGTCCAGAAGCCTAGAATTTAGAGGCGGAAGGAACCCAAAAGTGATCCTGCCTGTGGGTTTTTAACACAGCCATTCAGCACCCAGGCGATTTCAGTATCCGCGTTCTTTGTCGTTGTGTCTAGTGTGTCTGTCTGCTTGCTGTATGTTCACTGAGCATAGCGGGCTTCTTCACTGGTACAGGACACGCCTGGGCCTGCGCCCTGCCTGCCCCGCTGGGTCAGTGGTTGAAGTCAGGATATCTGTTGTTGGGCCTCTAACCAGGTGGGGCGGGCTGGGCTGCTCAGCGTCTGTCTGTCCACTTTCTCCCATGCTTGTTCTCTGGAAGGTTCCCTGCCCTGCACCCGTCCTGCAGGACCCCAGCTTGCAGCTCTCTGCTTTCCCTTCATGGTGCTCCCTGGCGTGGGCTCTGCCGACCCTCAGCAGACACTCGTGTTTGGATCACGAAGAGTTGGGGCCACTGTCTGGTTCAGTGCAGCGACGGGATCTGGCCCCTTGATTTTGATCACATTCGTTTTCCTGAACGAGAGTGGCCTGAACACGAGCTGCTATCTCAGATGGGCAGTCACCCCGTCTGTCCCGTTTCCGTGAGGTTAAAGGGATGTGCTTGGGCCTCCCTACCCAAAATGGGGCTCTAAAGAGCTTTCCTTCCATTTCCTGGCCCATGGATCCGGGACATCCAGGTGCCACCCACCCATCCTTAATGCCTCCTAAGCCATGTCTGAAGCAGCGGCCGGTGCGTGACCACCTTGCGTGCTCTGAGCACCCGGTGCAGAGGTGCCTCCTGCGGGGCCTCTGATCTCCAAGGGCAGTTTCCGGGAGCAAAGTGAAGTGAAGGGATTGGAAACTCAGGTCACTCAGCCAGCAGGGACTGGTGAAGTGTTCCATAAAGCCTGTAAAATTCTTCCAGAGCTTCGCACTGGCTCCAGCTTAAATTTGATCACTCAAGAAAACTGTGTTGCCGGGCACGGTGGCTCAGGCCTGTAATCCCAGCACTTTGGGAGGCTGAGGCGGGTGGATCACCTGTGGTCAGGAGTTTGAGACCAGCCTGGCCAACATGGTGAAACCCCCATCTCTACTAAAAAAAAATACAAAAAAGTTAGCCAGGCGTGGTGGTGGGCGCCTGTAATCCTAGCTACTCGGGAGGCTGAGGCAGGAGAATCACTTGAACCCAGGAGGTGGAGGTTGCAGTGACCCAAGACCACGCCATTGCACTCCAGTCTGGGCAACAAGAGCGAAATTCTGTCTTAAAAAACAAAACAAAAAATCACGTGTTGAATTGTTTGTTAGACAACTTAGACAAAAACAAGTAGATGAAGTGTGCGTTGACTCAGCCAGGAAGAGCTGGCGGGTTGGGCTCCCAGTTGCAGATGGGCATGGCCAGCGCCCCCCAGCCCTCCCCAGATGACCAGGGCCGCTCCATCCACCCGTCAGGTTTCCCTTTTCTCGTCTCCCTCCTCCCTCTCTCCTTTACCTCCTCCTCCCAGACCCTCTGCGGGGACCCACTGTGCGGCCTGAGTCCTCCCTCGGCCCCTTGGAGCACTTAGGGTTCCCCGCGGTGGTGTGCCTCAGCCACGTGCTGCCCCTGTGGTGGGAACAGCTTGTCTCTACAGTCAGTCGGCCTGGCCCCTGAGCCTGGACTTCAGGGGGCTTTTTAGGGAGCACTCCGTGGTGGGCTTCCCTCCGCGCCCCCTGGCATGCTTCCCTCCCAGTGACTCAGCCTCTCCTCCTGTCTCCTTTGTTCGCCAGTATGTCCCGGAGGACCTCCTTCCCGTCTACAAAGAAAAAGTGGTGCCGGTTGCAGACATTATCACGCCCAACCAGTTTGAGGCCGAGTAAGTCATTTTATTTTATTTTATTTTATTTTACTTCATTTTTCAAGACGGATCTCACTCTTGTCGCCCAAGCAGGAGTGCAGTGGCACAATCTCAGCTCACTGCAACCTCTGTCTCCAGGGTTCAGGCGATTCTCCTGCCTCAGCCTCCCAAGTAGCTGGATACAGGCGTGAGCCACCATGCCCGGCTAATTTTTGTATTTTTAGTAGAGATGGGGTTTCACCATGTTGGCCAGGCTGGTCTTGAACTCCTAACTTCAGGTGATCCACCCACCTCAGCCTTCCAAAGTGCTGAGATCGCAGGCGTGAACCAGGGTGCCCAGCAGAGTAAGTCATTTTAAATGGCAAATGCTACCAGTCTTTCCCCAGGGAGAGCTGCAGAGAACGTGCCAGAAGGGTCTCCATTCTGCCCTCGGGCTGCCTGTTCTGCTTCCGAAGGGGTCCTCAGGAAGGTCCTGCCGTGGGGCGAGTGCCCCTTGATACTAGAGCAGGATGTGGTGGGGGCGCCTGGGTTGGAGAAGTCCCTACCCACCGGGTCCCAGGCTCACACCTTCCCTTTGGTGGCGGCAGCCGTGGGCGATGGGGAAAGTTCTCCTGCCCCTGTGCCTTCCTGAGCGGCAGGGCCTCTGGGAGAGGAAGGGGAGGGGTGACTTGGGGAGCTGTGGGCTTGCCTGGGCCACCACGGCGGAGGGAGGGTGGGGGCAGCACAGGCGGCCAGGTCACCTGCCACCCTGTGAGGGGAAGAGGAGTGTGTTGGGTCTGCCTGTCTGATACCGAGTTTGAAAAGGTCTTTCTCTGGGTGCATGGCCCCCCAGCTGAAGAATCAGACGCCAAGGGTAAGCCGCCAGTGCCCCAGTGCCATTAAGAGTGGAGCTGCCTATTGAGGAGGCTGGTGCCTGTCATAGCTTAGCTCTACCTGGCCCTGAGCCACGTTCCGAGTCCCCCATTCACGCAGGGGTGGGGGGCGCCTGGACTCTTGGAGGCCTGGGATCCCTGACCTGGGCCTGTCCAGACTCGGCGGTGGCATCTCGCTCGAGGCCCCTGAGCCATGGGCAGCCCCTGCGTGCATTAATCGTTAGCAGCTCTATGACTTTGTATGGACGTCAGTCACGCATGCTGAGACCCTGCGCTATGGCATGGTCTTAAGTGGGGGCCGTGGCTGCTGTGCATCACCTTGGTTATGTATAAACAGCAGCCATGATTGGGCCTTGCCTGACTCCTGTCATATGAGTGTCCCCTTTAGAAGCAAACCGCACATGTTGCAGAGGCCCCGGCCCATGGTGGCCAGTGGACGAAGAGCCTGTAGGGATGAGGCTTTCCAGAGCCGCTGTAGTTTGGGGAATGTGAACACACAACCTGGAGAAGAGAGGCTCACCTGTCCCTGCCTGCCTGCCCCTGCCTGTCTTCCAGGTTACTGAGTGGCCGGAAGATCCACAGCCAGGAGGAAGCCTTGGCGGTAAGGAGGCCCTCTGGGGCCTGTGCGGGGCAGATGTGCCACTCACGGTGGGAACGGGAGATGGGCTGCCTGAGTGGCACCATTGCGTCATTTGTCCCCAGCAGTGACTGAACCGTCTGTACCAGTCAGGGGCCTCCAGAGACCAGCAGATATGTGCGCGTGTGTGTGCGTGTGTGCGTGTGCGTGTGTGTGCGTGTGTGTGCGTGCATGTGTGCACGTGTGTGTGCAAGTGTGTGTGCGCATGTGTGTGCATGTATGGGTGTGTGCGGGTGTGTGTGCATGTGTGTGCGTGTGTGTGTGTGCATATGTGCGTGCGTGTGTGAAGAGATGTTGCAAGGCGGTGGCTTGAGCTGTTTGGAGGCTCCTGGGCATGCTTGGAATTTGCAGGGCAGGCTGGAGGCTCGACACAGGAGCAGATGCAGCCGCCCAAGGGGCAGTTTCTTCAAAGTCCTTTTTCTCTGGGACTTGGGGACCGTGGGTATCATGCTAGCATTGAGCCTTGGTTGAGTCATCTTAGTCTGTTGGGGCTGCTGTGACAAAATGCCTGAGACTGGATGATTTATGAAAAACGGAACTTTTGGCCGGATGCAGTGGCTCAACACCTGTAATCCCAGCACTTTGGGAGACTGAGGCAGGCAAATCACCTGAGGTCAGGAGTTGGAGACCAGCCTGGCCAACATGGGAATACCCCACCTCTACTAAAAATACAAAAATTAGCTGGGCGTGGTGGTGCACGCCTATAATCCCGGCTACTTGGGAGGCTGAAGCTGGAAAATCGCTGGAAGCCCGGAGATGGAGGTTGCAGTGAGTTGAGATTGGAGATTGCACCACCGCACTCCAGCCTGGGCGACAAAGTGAGTGAGACTCCGTCTCAAAAAAAACGAAACAAACAAACAAACAAAACAGAACTTTGTTCCCCACGGTTCTGGAGGCTGGGAAGTCTAAGGCCACAGCGCCGGCAGGCTCAGGGTCTGGCGGGAGCTGCTTTGCCGCCCCGACTGCGCCTTGTTGCTGCATCCGCATGTGTGGACGGCAGGGGGCTCGAGGACCCCATGCTGCTTCCTCCAGCCCTCTCATCAGGCACAGAGAAAGGGGAGCCCTTGTGACTTAATCACGCCCCAGAGGACCCCCTCGGAATACTGCCACATGGGTGCGATGTTTCAACATGCATTGTAGTGCGGACGCTGTCCGACTGCAGCAGGAGTCCACGTGCTTGGGGCTGCGTTCCCGAACAGCCTGACCCTACCCTGAGTTTTGTCTTCACAGCCCAGGGGCCTGGTCCTGGCAATGGGCCACTGCAGCGGCCACTCCTCCCACTCGGGGGCCTTTCGCTGACTTGGTCCTGGGCCCTGGGGCTGCAGAGTCAGCTGGCCCTGGGGCAGGGTCCAGATTCTGCTATGGTCGTGTGCTGGGTGGCGATGCAGCACGTGTGTGTGTGTGCATGGATGTGTGTGTGTACAGCACATGTGTGTGCATGGATGTGTGTGCGCGTGCGCACGTGCGTGTGTGTGTGAAGCATGTGTGTGTGCACGCATGCTGCCTGCTCTGAGGCAGCCGTGCAGTGGAGACAGTTTCCACAAGAGTTACAGAAAAACCAACGTACAGAGGGGCCAGCTCCTCCCCGCTGCAGGACAGGCACGCGTCTGTCCACTTACCTGTCCAGCCCCCAAGGGGGAGGCCCTCACCAGTCACCTGCGTGGACCCACACAGTTTGGGCTGACAGTTTGGGGAGGATGGTGGCTGACCAGGTGGCTGTCTCCCCTCTGGGAGTGGCACTATTGAGAATGGGCTCTGGGGGAGTGGGGTGTGACGGGCCCCAAGGGAGTGGGGTATGAGGGGCCCCAGGGGAGTGGCGTGTGGCGGGCCCCGGGGGAGTGGCGTGTGGCGGGCCCCGGGGGAGTGGGGTGTGGACGGCTCTGGGGGAGTGGCGTGTGACCGGCATGGCTGACGCTCCCCGTGCCGCTGCCAGGTGATGGACATGCTGCACTCTATGGGCCCTGACACCGTGGTCATCACCAGCTCCGACCTGCCCTCCCCGCAGGGCAGCGACTACCTGATTGTCCTGGGGAGCCAGAGGAGGAGTAAGTGCCCCCCTTATGCATCGCGGCCTCCTCTGCTCTTCCCAGAGGAAGGCGTCCTTTGGGGCTGCCAGAATGTTTTGGGTTCAGTAGCATGAAAATTATGCCTTACCCAGCACTGGGATGACGCCCCCATTTTACAGGCTCTTGGAGGTCGGATGGGATTCCCAAGACCGCACAGGTCCTGATGAATGGCCTGGCTGGAACCCACTTCCACGGGCCCAGTATCATAGGCCTCCCTCAAAGCTGGGCCGAGTCCCTGAGTTCACTGGGAGGACGCGTCCGCCCAGCTGTGCTGATTCTTTACACAGATACCACCGGGTTGATTTTCTCTGAACAGTGTGAAAATGACACACAAGGCTGGGGCCATGCCCTAAGCTAGTGGCCACGAGTTCACACCCATGGCCCCGAGAGAACAGTTGTGGCCTCCTCGCCGCTCTCTCTCTGTTTGGACATGGGAGCCTTGTGGGCACACACATTGGCACAAGTGCACATACACAGGCACATACACACGTGGACATGGATACACGCACACATACATGTGGACACAGGCACGCACACATGTGGGCACACACACATACACGCACATGGACACATGCATACATATACACGGACACATGCATACACATGGGCACACACACACGTACACGCGGGCACACGTACACGCGGGCACGCACACACATGCGCAGACACACACACACTTGGATGTGTGCAGACGTCTCCTAGTTCTTCACGCCGTTGTTACTCTCGGGAACTCTACAGCGACCCCCGAGACCAGCCTGGCTGTGGCTCTCTGAGGCTGCAGTCTTTCCCTTGCGGTGGTGGTGGGGTCCCCATGCAGGCCCAGAGCCCCTGCAACCTGAGCGAGGCCACCATGTGCTCTGCCCCATGACCCTCCCTGCCACTGTGCCTGGGAGGACCAGGGATGGGGAGGCTGGCCCTGGCAGAGGAGCGGCAGATCTCAGTGACCTTGCACATCTTCTCCCCCTAGGGAATCCCGCTGGCTCCATGGTGATGGAACGCATCCGGATGGACATTCGCAAGGTGGACGCTGTCTTTGTGGGCACTGGGGACCTGTTTGCTGCCATGCTCCTGGCGTGGACACACAAGCACCCCAATAACCTCAAGGTCAGCCACACCACCGCTCCCCTCCTCGCCCACTCCCACGGCACCTCGTGGGGAGCAGGGTCTGAGAGTCCTGCTGGGGGGGGTCCCTGCTGAGCTGACAGGGCCTGGCCCTGAGTGCCAGCCCCAAGTTGTGGGGCAGGGCAATACCTGGGCCGTGGGCTCCGGAGTTGCACCTGTCACCCTCAGATCGCCTCCCATCTCCCCTTATTTGGGACCTAGGGATGATCAGAGTCTTGGGGGGGCTCAGGTGAGAGATGCGTCAGAACAGACCCACGGGGGTCCCACCTGAATTCAGATGCCGTCCGCCTGGCGTTGACGCAGGGCTGTGGGGTGCATGGAGCTGTTGTGTCCTGGTGACCTGGGGGCTGCTGCGGAGGAGTGGCACCCACAGCCTTTCCCACAGTGTGACCACGGCAGTGACCTGAGGGACTGAAAGGCCAGAGCCGCCCATCGGGGACAGTAGACGGGAGGCTGAGGACAGGGTCCAGGCAGGTGTGGACAGTAGGCGGGAGGCTGAGGACAGGGTCCAGGCAGGTGTGGACAGTAGGCGGGAGGCTGAGGACAGGGTCCAGGCAGGTGTGGACAGTAGACGGGAGGCTGAGGACAGGGTCCAGGCAGGTGTGGACAGTAGGCGGGAGGCTGAGGACAGGGTCCAGGCAGGTGTGGACAGTAGGCGGGAGGCTGAGGACAGGGTCCAGGCAGGTGTGGACGGTAGGCGGGAGGCTGAGGACAGGGTCCAGGCAGGTGTGGACGGTAGGCGGGAGGCTGAGGACAGGGTCCAGGCAGGTGTGGAGTGCTCTTTTGCAGCATTGTCGGGGTGTCTGCCTGCTTTACAAGTTTGTGGAGATCGGGTGGCCTTGCTTAGACACTGGGCAGAGTGGGTCTGCTGGTCGACTGGCATGGCAGGTTGGGATGTGGGGTCTCGTGAGCCTTTCTTGTGTGTCCCTTGGTTAAGCACACAGCTCAGTGGGGACAGAGGAGTTTCGCTGCAACTGTGGCGCTCAGATTCGTGACCTCCTGTGCTGCATGCGGCAAAGTTGCATTGTGGCCTTGGCGGGTGGTTTTGTCAGCTGAGTCCTCGGACCTTTGGAGTGTGTCTTCCTACAACACTGTCCAGACGCCTGCTGTGCTCTGAGGTGGTCTCCAGCCCCTGGGCTCAGCCCCCTAAACTCCCCTGGGTGCTCCCTGCTGTGTCTGCAGGGGGTTTAGGTAGGAGGGAGGGGCCTGCCATCCCTTTGAAATGTGGGGCAGGGCGGGGATGCCATGGGAGTGGCAGGAGGAAGACAGGACGCCTCTGTCACCGTTGGATGCGCCGGGGAAGGAAGAGTTCAGAGGTCAGGACCTGCAGGTGGCTCTACCTGTCTTGTCTTTGCCGGGCCCCTCAAGGGGCTGTGTGTCCCCCAGGGTACACCTCCTCCCCAACAAGTCAGTTTCAGCTGCGTGTGCTGGTGTGTAAAATGGAAGAGGTGGACTGAGGCCCTTCACCTCCCATGGGACTAGCCCTCTGCACACCCCGAGCTGGAATGCACAGCCCCCTCATTCCGTCCCTTCTGGCCCCTCAAGAGCAGTTAAACAGGGCCATTAAGTAGGCCTGCCGTGTTTCATTGGTGGTGCAGAGCAGTGGGAACGTGCCAGCTGGTGCCCCGAGGAGGCCTCGCCGCCGGGTCACCCAAGGTCACATTCTGGGTTTGGCCAGCCCAGGCCTGTGGAGTCAGGGAGCGAGTTCGCCATGCTTCCCCAGCACCTTTGACTCTGAGGCATCACTGAGTGATGACTGGCCAGGCTTTCGGCAGGAGCGCTTCCCCCTGTAGACTCGTTATAAGGAGTTAATTCTGGGCACTCTTACCAAGCTCCTGCTGCCTGCCAGGTTCTATGCAGGTCACGAGGCTGTCCCTTCTGTGAGCCATCTCTTGTCCGGAGCTGGTGACTGGGACCAGGCATCCGCTCAGCCCTCCAGGCTCTCCGTGGTGGACAGTCCGTGGCCTGTCCTCCAGGACTCAGCACGTGTGCTGGCAGAGCTGGCTCCCCGGTGGCTCGGAGAGCAGGATGGCCTTTGTGTTCACTGGAAATCCCCTCCCGGCAGCAATGGACACGTCGGGTGTTGTGCGTGGGCTGGGGCACAGCAAGTCTTTCCTCCCTGCAGGTGGCCTGTGAGAAGACCGTGTCTGCCTTGCACCACGTTCTGCAGAGGACCATCCAGTGTGCAAAAGGTACGGCGGCTGGGCTGCGTGGGCTGCGTGGGCTCCTGGGTCCTGAAGTGGGTGGGAGAGAAGAGCCGGCATGTGCTGGTTTCGAAGGTGTGACTAGTGTCTCCTGCTGGTGTCGCCTTTGAGAGTGGGGGCAGCAGGCAGCAGTGGGAGCCCCTCTGAGATGGGAACTCTGCCTGCCCCGCAGCCCAGACCGGGGAAGGAGTGAAGCCCAGCCCCATGCAGCTGGAGCTGCGGATGGTGCAGAGCAAAAGGGATATCGAGGACCCGGAGATCGTCGTCCAGGCCACGGTGCTGTGAGGGCCGCGCCGCTCACCCGTGACGCGCAGCGCGTTGGTGTCTCCATGTTTGTCCCTGTGAAAACATGTAACGTCTGCCTTAGAGCCATGACCGAAACTTGATATTTTTTTCTTTCATGAGTGTCTGGTATCTGCTGGTCTTCATTGTGAAATGTGCCAGTCATGCTTTGTGAAAATAACAAAGCGGTCACAGAAATTTGTGATCTGAAAACCCAGCTCTCTTCCCCACAAGGCTCCTGGGCCTCCAGGAAGACAGGCCCCTGTTTGCCAATTCAGAGGCGTTCCATGTGGGAGGGTGAGTGGGTGAGGCCGAGCCCGCTGCGCCTGGAGCCTCGAGTGGGCCCTGGCTGCCGCTACCACACCGGGGCCATGTTGCGCGTGGACTGGGCCTGGGTGGCCTCTGTCTTTGCATCTCTGAGAAGGAGTTGGGTGGTAACTGTTGGGGTCAGAAAGAATTCTGCCAGATATCTTGACTGTCATTCTGATCATAGCCTCTTTGTTCTTGCACTTGAACTTTTGTTTCTTACTGTGCTGCTCATGTAGTCCCTGGGGATTTCAGATCTTAGGCTGTTGTTTCACCGTATGGAAGGGTTGATGTGAGCTTGCTCGAACGCACACAGGGCAGCGACAGGGACTTTCCCAGGCCCCAGCAAATTCAAGTCGGTCCGCAGACCTCTCAGGTATCCGCAGGACCTCCTGTAGCCCATGGCCGTCTTCCAGGAATCTGCTACACGACACGAGGAAGATGCTAATGCAGTAAGGTCCGTGCTGGGCCGAGAGCAGCTCTGAAGCTCCAGAGAGCCACCCCGTCAGGTTTCTTGTGGAAGCTCCTGTCATCCGTGCTGCAGCAGGCCGAGCACTGCATGTTTGCCACATGCTGCCCGTGACAGCACATCAAGCCACAGCGTTTGTAGACAGGACAGAGGGGTGCCCGCCCCCTGCCCCTGCTGGCACAGCAGTTCCCAGGCCCTTGGGCAGGCTGGGGTGGCGGCAGAGGCCACAGCACCAGCTCTGACAAGTCCCGTCATCCTCTGCTCAGCAGTGACCTCCCTGGCCCCACTTTGCCCAGAGTTTGGGGTCCCTCCAGGTATAGCTCTAGGCAGCAGTGCCTATCTCTGGCCTGCCTTGATTTCAACCACACCCCTGTAGCCCTGCACCCCACCTCTGGGGCATGCAGAGGTTTGTGTCTCCAAGGAACCCACAGCTGGAGAGAAATAGGAAGATGCAGGAAGTAGGGTCCATGGGGCTCCTAGGAAGCAGACTCTCCAAGGGGTACCCCCACCCCACTACCTTCCCCACAGACGGGCCCCTCCCAAAGCCCACACCCTCCTGTGAGACCATTCCAGTGTCTTCTAGAAAGACTTGCTTGCCAGGAGTGCATTCTTTGTTGAAAAATGCCCTAAGGCGAAAAGATGCAGGTTTATATGGAACCCCCCACCCCCATCCCCACTCTTCCCCACTCTGTTCGTTCTGAATGTCTTCATGAGTGTGTGTCAGAGCGCCCGGCTGCCTCACCGCAACCAGTGAGTCAGACACAGGTTTCCCAGCCATGTTTCCTGGCTTCGAGGACACGGGTGGCAGGCCCCTTGCTGCCCAGGGCCACTGGTCCCTGCAGGGCGCTGCCTCACCAGCAGGAAGGAGGAAGGCTGTGGCCGCAGCCTGACGGGGAGGCGGCCTCCCGCTGTGTGAGTGCAGGAGTCCGCCAGAGCCACCTGGGCCTCTGAAGGGCCTTCTACTGGAAATACCCTCACTGCCAAGTGGAGACTGCGGCGTGTGCCACATTGCCAGCCACCAGGAAAGCGTTTCTTTTTCTTTTCTTTTTTTTTTTTTTAAACACCAAGAGCACATATAGCACGGGGGAGAGAACCTGAATGTCTGTTCTGTGAGCTGGTGAAAAACCCAGCGTGAGAACGCAGTGTCAGGCCCCTTCTGCCCGTGCAGTGGGTGTTACGGGCGGTGTGCCCTGGCGAGCAAGCTTTGATTCTTGGTTCTTTGAAGCTCGTTTCAGAGGCTGAGTCCCCACATCAGCTTTAGTTCTTGGACTTCCCTATATTAAGCAAGAATTAGGAGAATGGCGGTCCCCGCAGGCGCCTCCTGTAAATCCTGAGCTCTCTGGCGCAATCCGAAACTTCTCTTGTTTTCTTTGGCTGTATCGGCCGAGCCAGGAGAGGCCTGGGCTGTGACTAAGGAGAAAGACATCAGGGGTTTCTGAGAGCAGACGGTGGCTTTGTGGGTGCAGGGCTTTTGTGGAAATTGTCAGCCTCTATGGGAAGTGTCCGGCATCCCCTCCCCAGACTGCCTGCTGTCACCACAGAGCTGCTGGAGCCTGCCTTGCCCACGGCCCATTTCCACCCGGGCATGTTCGTCTCTCACGACTTGGGCAGAGGCCCCCGGTGGTCCTGAGTTTCAGTTTCTCATCCAGGAAGGTAACCATGGGCATTGGCAGTGGGTTTCCATATGGCTTGGATCCAAATTAGAGTTGATCTTTGTTTTCACTTTCCATAGTTAATAACATGCAAAATAATGAGAAGAATTTACTTTAAGGTGAGAGCTGTATTGGTCCAACATTGCCTGCTTATTGCCAGGGTACAGAATTTTAATACTTTCTTAATCTAGTTTTTCAAACTTCTCCTTGTAGACCATAAGGATGAATTCCACGATAGGATCCTTTTTCAAATCTATTTTAAATGGTTGTCTGGTCCTGCCGAGGTTATTATCTGCATCTGCTATTTTTTCAATACACGTAAACAGGTACAGCGTGATGCTTCGTTTCATGTCCTGTTCTTAAGCTCGTTAGAGCCAGTTTTGAAACGTTTGGTCTTACGTGGACGGAGGCCGGCTTGGCTTAGCCGTGCTGATGAGTAGGTGAGGGACGTCTCCATCTTGAGGTCACCAGGCAAGAGAGTTGCCTGCACCAGGTGGGAGGCCAAGCCCCTGGGGTGACAGTCCCCACCGCCACCTGAGGTAAGAAAATAAAAACGATGTGGTTGCGCTCAGGCCTCTGTCATGCCTGGTGTCAGAGAAGGCAGAGCCCACAGTAGGGTGCAGGGTACAAGGCCCTGGGAGGGCGCCGGCCAGGGAAGGTGGTATAGATGGCCCTCAGATTGCTGGGCCCCGAGCAGCTCCCCGCCCTGCCCATCCACCTGCCCTGGCTCCAGCCTCGTTCTCTCTTTAGTTTAACTGTGAAAAGAGGAGGTTGAGAGTGTTCTGGTGACTGGAGCTCTTCTCCTTGTCTTTCCTGCCTTCCGACGGGGCCACCTGTGTCGGGGCAGCAGGGTCCATGTTTATGCAGATTGGAGGTGCCCCTACCGTGTGACCGCACTGTACTGTGCTGCCCGGGTAGCCAGGAATCTCTCCGTCTCTCCCCTGCCACCCGCCTGGTCTCATGGGCCTCCTTCATACACTGCTTCCTGTGGATTGCCTGCCTGGGCCCAGAGCAGGGGAACTGGAGTTTATGAGTGAGCAGAGCGTGTTATGTGCAGACAGGGAAACGAGAACTTTGAACCTGGCTTTCTGAGGCCAGGGGAGAGCTGCGTGGCCCCCGACACCACTCTGCCGCCAGAGGGATGTGCCTGCTGAGCCTTTTCCTTCCACACCGCCCCTGGCTGCCGGGCCAGCGGCTTCCACTGAGACTCCCTGGAGAGCCGGCTCCCGTGTCCATCCACCGAGCACTCAGACGGATGCTGATGACCAGGCCGAGGGGGAGCCCAGAAGGACCCCAGGCCCTGGGTAGGGTGGCTCTGGGAGGCCAAGTCCACTGTCCGGAAGTCTGTCAGCCCTAAGCCAGGGAAGACTGGAGCTTGGCCTGGCGGGTCTGGGTGGACGCCGCTCCCCCTCCGGACTCCCTGCACAGGGGAGGAGGCCTGAGCCTCTGTGGCCCTGTAGCCGTGGGCAGAGCTGGGCCTGTCCTGTGTTCCTGCCTGGCAGGTGCAGGTGCTGGCCGTTTCAGGCGGAAGGAGGTGGGAATCTTGGATTTTTTTCTTTTTTTGAGATGGAGTCTTGCTCTAACACCCAGCCTGGAGTACAGTGGTGCGATCTCGGCTCACGGCAACCTCCGCTTCCCAGGTTCAAGTGATTCTCCTGCCCCAGCCTCGCGAGTAGCTGGGATTACAGGCGCACGCCACCACGCTTAACTGATTTTTGTATTTTTAGTAGAGATGGGGTTTCACCATGTTGGCCAAGCTGGTCTCGAACTCCTGACCTCAGGTGATCCACCCAACTCGGCCTCCCAAAGTGCTGGGATTACAGGCGTGAGCCACCGCACCCGGCAGAATCTTGGAATTTTTATAGATAGCACCTCAGTTTCTGACTCCAGCTGCGTACTTCCTGCCTCTACCAGCAGGGGTTGCCACCAGGCCAGAGCCAGGGCCGGGTCCCTGCGTCCATCCCCCCGGTAGGATGGACATGAGCCATCCTTCTAGGGGACTTTTTTCAGTGTGCGACTCCTCTCTGTTAGGTGGGAGGAGCCGGTGTGTGTGGCCTGTGCCATGCTCAGCAGTGCGTGGCTGGGCTGTGTGTGTGTCCCCTGTTCCTGCAGGGCCCAGCAGGCATCGTAGCGTGGCAGCTGTGTCCGAGCCACTGCCCGGGCATCCCACGACCCGCCAGGGTGCACGGTCACTCCCGCTGGGGGCTTTCTGTCGCATGTGTGTCTCCTGTCGACTCTGCACTTCGTTCTCAGAGCAGAATGTTTCCTGTTCTCAGTGCGTGAAGACACTGGTTTTCGATCTGCGTCTAGAACCACTTTCCTGCCTTTCATTGTAACACAGTGTGTTCATTTGTTTAAAACAGAGTTTAATGAGTAATTTAGATCTGACTGGTCAATATCTTAAAACTTTATATTAATAAAAAGTTCTTCCTGGAATTTTTCTTTCAATTCTGGCAGAATAAACAGGTGTTTTTAAGTTTTCCCACCGTCTGAGCCAAGCAGGACCCTGTCCCCGAGCAAGAGATGTCCCCTCCATCCCTGACCCCCTGCCTGGGACAAGCCTTGTTGGGGGCCCCCAGCTTCAGGGCTGTGGTGGGAACAGCACCCGCAAATGCCAGCCTCTCCTTTCTTCCCATCCACCAGTTCACTACAAGGCCATTTCTGGTCCTTATGCAACAGGAAGCCCATTTCTGATGGGATGTGCCTTCCAGTGCCACAGGGCCACTGACCCCACGCATCTCTGTCCTGTCCATCAGTGCTGGGATGGACAGCAAGGGCGAGCCCAGTGTCTGGCAGATAGGTGGGTGGGAACGGAGAGGGGAGAATGCCATCCTAAGCCTGTGTTTGGGGAGCCCCCACACAGCCTGGGTACTGCCTGGGAAACCTGTCCTAAGTAAAACATGGGCCTGGCCTCGCCCACCGGCCTGCGAAGCCAGCGTCTCCGTGAAGGTGGATGGAAGCACCTTTGTCCTCATTTTGAGCTGCAAGCTGGGTCAGCGGCTTCTGAAGCCCTCAAGTGACTTTCTTTTTTTTTTCTTTTTTGAGACGGAGTCTAGCTCTGTTGCCCAGGCTGGAGTGCAGTGGCGCAATCTTGGCTCCCTGCAAGCTCTGCCTCCTGGGTTCACACCATTCTCCTGCCTCAGCCTCCCGAGTAGCTGGGACTACAGGCGCCCGTCACCACACCCGGCTAATTTTTTGTATTTTTAATAGAGACGGGGTTTCACCGTGTTAGCCAGGATGGTCTGGATCTCCTGACCTCGTGATCCGCCCATCTCGGCTTCCCAAAGTGTTGGGATTACAGGCGTGAGCCACCACACCCGGCTGCCCTCAAGTGACTCTCTAACCCAAGACCCAGCCCCTAGCAGGAGGAGGGTGGGTGCAGGGCTGGTGGGACAAAAAGAGGCCTCAGCAGGCCTGACAGACCCTTCCAGTGCGTCCCAAAGCGTGTCAAGCAGCTAGGAGGACCTGTGTCAAGCTCAAGCCATCGTAGGTCCCCATGAGGTATCTGAAGCCCCTTCTTGGTGACGGGAGGCGGAGGTGCTGACATTCTGGGGAATGGACCTGAGTCTTCGGCTGGCTCCGCGCAGGCCCCTGAAGGGGGTGAGGTGTGTGGTGACCTGGATGCTTGTAACTTCATGGCTGCATCATTCCTGATTCAGAACTTTAGCTGGAGCTTCATCTGGTGATTGCAGAATTGGACCAATGGGAGGACTGCGGCGTGGCCCGGCCCCTCCCTTGAATGGAGCTCAGCTCTTCGGAGGTGTCAGCACCTGTCGCCTCCGTGGTCCCCCTGCCGAGGGAGTGCGGCCCCCGCGAGGTTCGGGGTGACTTTGTTTGCCGGAGTGGCCGGCCCTGCGTGTGTCCTGCGGATGTTTGTGAGCCTTGGTTCCCACAGCACTGTGTAGGCTGCGTCTGTTTCGTGCTGGTCCTGTTGAGGCGTGATGGTTCCCCCCCATCCCAGGAGCTCCCTACCTGTGATTGGCTGAACACCCAGTACCCCGCCAGCCACGCTAGGGGTTGCTGCTGGAAATGGTGGCAGCCGACTCCCTAAAAACCTCCCCGTTGGAGGAAAGAGCATGCCTTGCCCCTGCCTGCCGGGCCCAGGCCCCCTCTTGTCCTGTGCTCTGTTCTCTGCCTGGGGGGCTGGCCTGGGTGTCCCGGCGTGGGCTTCCTGCAGGACTTCCCAGCGCAGAGCCCTCGGGGATGGGAGGCCGGGGCTCCCTTCCCTGCCCTCCCTGCGCGATTCTGAGGTCCAGCTCCGGGTGTTGGCCAAGGGCGTCTGCTCCTTCTGGGTTCCACCTGGCTCCTTCACACCTGGGTGGTGACATTGCAGGGCCTCTGGCTTGGCCAATCTCGTGTTCCCCTGACTCATGTGCACCTGTGCAATAAACCCGCAAACTAATATCCAGCAATGCCAGGCTGATTGCTGTGTCCCAAGAACAAGGAGAAGGCGGAACCGGGGGTGCAGAACCAGCCCCTCCCCACGAGGCTCCCCTCTGGACGCCCCTCCCTGTGGAGGACACCAGGAGCCACAGACCCCAGACCACAGAGCATGCAGGGGAGGGCACGGGGCAGCCGGAGCAGGGTGTCTGCTGCCTCGTTACGGGATTTGCTCCTTGTCTGGCACACTGCTGCCTGCACTGCTCCCGTCCCCTATGGTGGCTACTCTGGGCCTACAGGCCTAATCCTGCTTGGCATGAAAGTGTCTTAAGGCGACTGTGACAAATTTCCACAAGCTGAATGGCTTAAAGGAGCACATTTGTTCTCTTACAGTTGCAGAGGCCAGAAGAGTCTAAAAGCAGTCAGCAGGGCTGGTTCCTCCTGGAGGCTTGGAGGGGCTGAATCCTTTTCCTGCCTTTTCTGGTGTCTGGAGGGCACCTGCATCCCCTTGCTCACGGCCCCTTCCATCAACAAAGCCAGTAGTGCCACATCTTTCCACCTCTCCCTTACTCTGACCTCCTCTCTTTCTCTTAGAAGGACCCTGTGTGATGTTGGACTCACCTAGATAATTTAGGGTCATCTCTCATTTCAAGATCCTTAATGTAATCCCACCTTTGAGTACCTTTTGCCAGATAAGGTCACAAATTCACAGGGTCTGAGGATGAAGATGTGGACCTCTTTGAGGGCCATGATGCAGCCCACCACGTCTAGAATGGAGTGTGTTCTGCAGTGGGGGGTGCCTATGCAGACCTATCCCAAAGTCCAAAGAGGCAGAGAGGCCAAAGAAAGCTGCCCTTGGCCGGGCGCAGTGGCTCACCCCTGTAATCCTAGCACTTTGGGAGGCTGTGGCGGGCGGATCATGAGGTCAAGAGTTCAAGACCAGCCTGGCCAACATGGTGAAAACCCATCTCTACTAAAAATACAAAAATTAGCTGGGCGTGGTGGCAGGCGCCTGTAATCCCAGCTGTTCGGGAGGCTGAGGCAGGAGAATCACTTGAGCCCGGGAGGCGCTCCCTTCCCTGCCCTCCCTGCGCGATTCTGAGGTCCAGCTCCGGGTGTTGGCCAAGGGCGTCTGCTCCTTCTGGGTTCCACCTGGCTCCTTCACACCTGGGTGGTGACATTGCAGGGCCTCTGG